GTTAAATGATGATGACAATCAATTAATGAACTAGTTGATAACAATTATTGTTATTATAAGAACCGTTCTGAATCATCATACAGCCACCCAATAAAAACAAGTTCAATCATAGGCATGCCAATTGATCATTATCGAATCGTAAAGGTACGGAGAAATTGACTACCGAGCTTTTTTTTTCAATTTGCTCTGTATTGCCTTGTATTCTCACTCTCATTCTCTTTAATTTGCCCCTCTACCCCCTCAACAGAGCTTTACCGTTTATTATCTCTTCTGATGTCTAATCTTCTTTGTTTCTTTGAATTTTAGACTTCATCATCTGTTCTTCCTATTTTGTGATTTATTACGATTACTTTCGCACTGTTGATAATATAATTAATGATGATAATCAATTAATTAACTAGTTGATAACAATTATTGTTACTATAAGAATCGTATTGAATCATCATACAGTCACCAATAGAAACATGTTCAATCATAGGCATGCCAATTGATCAATATCGAATCATAACGATATGTGCAAATTGAATACCGTGCTTTTTTTTCAATTTGCAATCTGCATTGCCTTGTATTCTCACTTTCACTCTCTTTAATTTGCCCCTTTTCCTCTTGAATACGGCTTTACCACTTATTATCTCTTCTATTTTACTCGTGAGAATTCTGTTTAATCTTCTCTTCTTTTTTTGAGTTTTAGACTTCATCATCTGTTCTGTCTGTTCCGTGATTTATTACAATTTCTTTCGCTTCTTTCGTTAATGACATGGTTGATGATGATAATCAATTAATTAATTAGTTGGTAAAAATTATTATTATTGTAAGAATCGTTCTGAATCATCATACAATCACCCGTCCGAAACAGGTCTGATCATAGGCATGCCAATCGATAATTATCGAATCATAACGATACGTGCAAATTGATATCGTGCTTTTTTTTCAATTTGCTCTGTATTGCCTTGTATTCTCACTCTCATTCCCTTTAATTTGCCCCTCTTCCCCCTCAACAGAGCTTTACCGCTTATTATCTCTTCTATTTTACTCGTGAGAATGCTGTCTAATCTTCTCTTCTTTTTTTGAGTTTTAGACTTCATCATCTGTTCTGTCTGTCCCGTGATTTATTACAACTACTTCCGCGCTGTTAATTAGATAAATGATGATGATAATCAATTAATGAACTAGTTAAAATTATTGTTTTTATAAGAATCGCTCTGAATCATCATACAGTTACCCTATAAAAACTAGTTCAATCATAGGCATGCCAAGTGATCATTATCGAATCGTAACAGTACGGAGAAATTGAGTACCGTGCTTTTTTTTCAATTTGTTCTGTATTGCCTTGTATTCTCACTCTCATTCTCTTTAATTTTCCCCTCTTCCCCCTCAACAGAGCTTTACCGCTTATTATCTCTTCTATTTTACTCGTGAGAATGCTGTCTAATCTTCTCTTCTCTTTTTGAGTTTTAGACTTCATCATCTGTTCTGTCTGTTCCGTGATTTATTAC